GTTTCGTTCTCTCTTCTCTCTCTCTCTCTCTCTCTCTCTCTTTCTCTCTCTCTCTCTCACTCACAAGAGTCCGTTAATTCTCACTACGGCTACTGACAACTGTAACATAGCCGTATGCTAAACATACATCGTAATAGTGTTGTGTGGTTTTAGACACAGAAAAGTATATAGATTTAATTATAGCAGGAATTTCTACGTTTTTATAGGGTTCAAATTCAGCTTTCAAGAATTACATAATGTACATCCTTACTTAATGTGGGTCACATCGCTACATTTTCTCCGAGAGATGGCGCGCGTACACCAGGCGCTATAGAATATAAGGGACTCTAAGGCGCTCTAGGCGCACTACCAGGTGATGTTTGTCGGTCGAATCATAATATGAAGATTTCTGCTTATTTCGTCTTTATCTTTCCATAATGCACCTTCATTCCTTCGTTTCACATTGTGAATTAAATTGAGGGGTTTAAATTAAAACGGATATAGATGCACATTAAAAATGGCATCTAGCCATAAGAAGAGTTGAAAATGGCAGAAGAAATCCGCTCGCGATGAATACCAGCTGATATGGCTAACAAGAATAATGTTCATTACGCAATACTGATTGGTCTTATAAATAACGAGTAAGTAATGATTACATAATATTTATATCAATAATTGAAAATAGCCCACTATGTACAGAATCATTTTAGATCAGAAAACACATAGCTTAACATGTAAAATTAAAAATAATGAATATGAAAACACATTTACGTTCAAATTAAACTGAAATATTCCGTTTGATATATTTTTTGGTTCAACGGCAAGTTTGAGGGAATGTGCCATGCTAAGTGTGTTTAGCTGCGTTTCTGATTCGATTCCAGGTTAAACCTTTTAAATATAACACGACTGTCAGAAAAAAAAACACACGAAAGAACCGCACGTCACCAGCGTAACAGGAGAAAACCCACCACCAATAAAAATGTTATATGCGAGATCGAAATTTGTACGAGCGAAGAACATGGAATTGGCGAATAACCTAGCAATGCAAATAATGCAACAATAAAAGGAACGTCCGAGCGATACTATGCCAACTCGTTTCTTATCGACAACTTTGCTGACTGTATAGAAGCTGTTAACTATTACTGTGTTTGAAAATAATATGACCGTCTTCGTGTGTTTACACTGTCCTTTGTGCACCAGCAATTGACCTGGAGCAATTTACAAGTCATTTGGTGCAAATATATGCACAGTACTTACACGCAAAGTTGGGTCCTTTGTTAGTGGGTTTTCCGTATTGATAAACGTGTCTGCGGCACATCGTTATCTTGTATAAATAGGAGACATAAAAATTACGATTTAATACTTGCCCTTTCAAGGGCATCCATTTTCTCCTTATTGTTTACAATTCTATAGGTAAGATTACCTTTGACAAGAATCTCGGTAAATGTATAATAAATGTAGATAGGCCTACGTATTTTAAAAGGAAAGCAATATGAAAGTATTACAGCCATATTTTACATAATATAGTATATAGTATACTGGTAAGTATCGTTATGAATAGCGAAGTATATTATTATCGAATCTAAATAGAGTAGGCAATATAAATTGAGCTATGTCTGATTAATCCTATTAAATCTAGGACTTATACAAAATCTATTATAATCACCATCATTATCATCATCATCATCATCATCGTCGTCGTTGTCGTCGTCGTCGTCGTCGTTTCGTCGTCATCATCATCATCATCATCATCATCTTCATCATCATCATCATCATCATCATCATCATCATCATCATCATCATCATCATCATCTTCATCATCATCATCATCATCATCATCACCTTTATCATATAACTCGAAACCCAACCCCTCACCGCTAACTAACCCTAATCTAATCAAGTTTTCATCATTAAAATCCGGGGTCATGAAATAGAATTTACCAAACTCTATGGCTTTTGCGAAACTAGCGCAATAGTAACCAGTAGGTTACTGCTAACATGATTAAAATTATGGATATTAATGTAGTTCGATGCTTGCTACCGGCATCTCCCCATATTATAGCGATTAATTGCAACACAAGTTAGCCCAACCTAACAGAAAATTACTGATTTGTCAACCATTCATATCACTTACATCAGATTTCCATACCGAACGTTGTCGCTCATCTGCGCATTTAATCTCATAACTGTCCAAATAACTGTAATTAATCCGATAACCGTAATTATTCTATCTCACTAACTTTTCAATTCAATTAAATGTCTTTTTAAAAGTCCGCTTTATGCGTGAAGAATACACCATGTTGGTAACTGATGATGGGTGGCGGATTTGGCGAATCGGATTCACATATTTCGTGTACGATATTATATGTATATATCTATGTGTATATATATATATATATATAGATGAATCGATATCGATGGATGAGTGGATGGATAAATAGATAGATAGATAGATAGATAGATAGATAGATAGATAGATAGATAGATAGATAGATAGATAGATAGATAGATAGATAGATAGATAGATAGATTTAGTAGATTAGGAAGTATGGTAGTGGATTGTGTGGATAAGATGGGCGGGCGGCGAGCGAGTCGTACTGTACGGATACGGACACGGACGGTGACGAATTGAATGATATGGATCGATGAATGGATGGATGAATTGATGCGATGGACTTGATGAATGAATGGATGGTCGATGAAATGTTATGGATCGATGGAATGTGATCGATGGAATTGATGGATGAATTGATAGATGAATGGGATCAGGATGAGATTGGATGATGGTGGTATGGATGGATGGATGGAGTGATCGGATGGATGGATGTTTATGGGTTGCGATGGATGGATGGATGGATGGGATGATGGATTGCGATGGATCTTTGTTGGTATGGATGGATGGATCGGATGGATGGATGGATGGGGATGGGATGGATTGGATGGCATGATGGATGGATCGGATGGATGCGATGGATGGATGATGGTATGGATGGATGGATGGATGGGTGGGGGATCGTGCGAGGTCTGATCCCTTGGCTCCTCTCGTGTCGACGCTGCGTTTGGGTCTTATCTCCTCCGATTTTGTGGCTGTGGTCGGATGGATGGATAATGAATGGATTGAGATGGATGGATGGATAGGCGGGTGGATGGATAGATAGTTGGATGGATGGATGAATGGATGGGTGGATGGATCGTACCGATATTTTCTTTTAAGTGACATCGTCTCGTTACGAAAACAAATAATAGCGGACACAATCTTATTACACATCTTATTATTTATAATACTGTAGGATTTATTATTTTCATTTACACATAACGTAACATCTGTTTTAAAACAAATGGCATGTAGTATTCGTGATCAATAACGGTACACGCGAAGCTATTACACTATGAATAACAGTCATATTGATTAGATTTTTACTAACTACATTGTAAACAATACAATATTCACACATTGCAAACATGAATGCTACTGGATAAATATATATCTTGGAGTAAATATGCATATCTGTGGTGATTGTGAAGAAATACAAGAACAATATTCACAAAATCGACGTTCCTGCTGCTGTTGCTGCTGATAATCATAACGATGATAATGACAATGACGGTGATGATATTGATTACGATAATTATGATAATAACAGTGGTGACAATATTAATGCCAATGGTTATTTCAGTGTGGAAAAATAGTTAAAAATAGTTAACGACGGTAATGTTTATAGCGATTATTATGGGATAACCAATATTATCAATGTTAGTTACCATTCTGTTTAAGGTATAGCCATTAACCCTAACGCATATAAAAATACCCGTTGCCAACCTGTATAGACACATTGACACTAAAAATCACGTATTATTTGATATCTTATTTAAACTGAGAAAACGAATTATTCTGAAATCGTGGCGTATATCTTTATATATTCGACAGATCTGTTGCATAACCGTTACAGCTACCAACCGTATCATTGAAAACTGTTGCGAAAGGGCTGTTTATGTTATATTAATATAATGGGAAACTATAGGGAACCATTGGTAAGAGATATTCACGCATTTCTGTAAGGAAGTCTTTCACGCTGATAAGGTACACGACTATAGTTTGGGTAGGAATCCGAGGGACCTGCAGATTCACCAGGGTAGGTAGATGGTCCTCCTATTCCTGAAGGTCCAGGGTAGGTAGATGGTCCTCTTAGTTCTGAAGGTCCATGGTAGGCAGATGGTCCTCCTATTCCTGAAGGTCCAGGGTAGGCAGATGGTCCTCCTGGCCCGGAAGGTCCCGGGTAAGCAGATGGTCCTCCTGGCCCAGAAGGTCTAGGGTAGGTAGATGGTCCTCCTGGCCCGGAAGGTCCAGCGTAGGTAGAGGGTCCTCCTGGCCCTGAAGGTCCAGGGTAGGCAGATGGTCCTCCTGGCCCGGAAGGTCTAGGGTAGGCAGATGGTCCTCCTGGCCCGGAAGGTCCAGGGTAGGTAGATGGTCCTCCTGGCCCGGAAGGTCCAGCGTAGGTAGAAGGTCCTCCTGGTCCTGAAGGTCCAGGGTAGGCAGATGGTCCTCTTAGTTCTGAAGGTCCATGGAAGGTAGGTGATCCCCTTGGACCTGACGATCCAGGGTAGGTAGGTGGTCCTCCTGGCCCTGAAAGTCCAGGATAGATAGATCGCCCTCCTGGCCTTGAAGGTCCCGGGAATGAATGTGGCCTATCTAGCGAGCGTCCCTGGTGCAATGGAGATCCCCCTAGTCTCTCACGTCGCAGGTGCCTTATGAATTGATCATTTCCTGCCAACTCTCTGGGTTGCGAGAAATCTGAGTTGACGCCTGCACCTCTGGGATGTGGACGAACTCTCCGTGGTCGACGTGGTAATTGGTTTCCAGGCTCGCCGATGCTATCTCCGCGCCCCCTTACGTTACCAAGTCCAAACCTTCCGGTCAAAAGATTAGAATCGCCGCCAACATAACTGCCGCGAAAGATCGATTCTCTTTCATCGTCTAGGTTTTCCTCGCGTCTATTGTCATCTTCGTAGTCATAATTTATAATATCGCTGCCCTCGTCTGTCTCCTTTGTAGAAAATCTAGCATGCAATGGTTTATAGGTTCTTCCAGAATTGTAATGTCTATTCCCGTAGTTTCTGTTTCTCCTCCTTCTTTGGGGATGCTGATTTGAACGTTCATACCATTTTCCATCGCTCCTTACTCTACCTTTGGTGTTTATCCAGTGATCGGCATCTTGTTTGCTCACTTGCAAGTGCTTGACTACCTCTCCGCTTCCGTAACCTGTCTGATCATCTAGTTGCCTGATAATATGGACGACGTCGTAAAGGCTTATGTCGTCAGACTTTTTCCGACCTTTTCTGCGCCTTCCTAACGTTAACTTCTCGGCGTTCGCGTGACTGTAGTCATCCTCCTCTTCTAATGTTGCCCGCTGAGATCCATATCCGGACAAGCCACCTGTTAATCTCCGCTGCAGCCTGTCGCGTGCATTACCGAACGGACCCAACATCGAACCTCCTTGTGAATCGGCTCCGCTTTGAACAAGCGGCAGGACGAATTTCGTGAAACCGTTTAGCAAGGCCGTGGTCTGCGCGACACCCTTTCCACGTTCATTCGATCCGTCGGTTTTTAGCAGCCCACGCAGTGCGCCGGATGCCGGTGCATTGCGTGGAGAATTTCCGGGAGACAGCACGTCAGAAAAAGTGGATATCAGAGTGGCCGTGTTATCCCCGGTGAGTAAAGATTGGAGCTTATCGCCATATTGCCGCCCTGCCTTCTGGCATACACACGTATGAGCCTACAATAACAAGACAACAGCATGTCAGTATAACACAATTCGTGTTACGGGAACTTGCGACTTAACAAGAGTAACAAGAATTTGCGAAGAATAATTCAACAAGAAAAATATCACCAATAGCAACACCACCACAACCACCACAATAACATAAAAACGGGTTCATATTGCCGCCTTCATATCCGCGAAATTGGTTAACGATATAACCTACTTACGGCTAGCAAAAGGCAGAGCCAGCGTAGCGCAACGCTGCGTCCTTGCATTTTCTATAATAATACCTGTAAAAATAAAGGTGTAATAAACTAAAGTAGTGTTCACATACGTGGCTGCGGTTGTTTCCCAAACCGGGCCTATTCATAGTTATCTTTTGATTAATTTGATTGTGTTATAAAAAGCGTATATATCGTGTATAAATTCTTAGTAAACGTTAATAGAAATTGTCGCATGAATCTGAAATAATATCATTTTTTCACAAGTGCCATTTACAAATGATAGACGCATCTATAAAAAAAACCTCACTGCATAATTATAGCATCGTGAATAAATATAGTACACCAAAAACTGAGCAATGTATTTCAAAGTAATAAAACAAAAATATCAAGCGCTGATGCATGAAACTTTGCAGGCTGCTCGAGTACTACCTATCCTTAATACCAATATATACTCACGCGGACGTCCACAGAGGTTCGTCGTTCACTACCACTAGTCAAGCACTACGTCTCTAAAACAACAGGAACCGAAATGCCTTTCCTTTTATATGGAGACGCGACCGTGCGATAGCCGTGGGCGCTTTGTCGCCGAACAAACTGCGCTTCTACTTCAACGCAATCTTGCTCGTTAACGCACGGGTGACATTGGAACAACGTAGCACGGGGCGGGCATGACCTGGCGTGCGGCTGTAAACGACGATTGATTTGAATGCGTTGCGCTGCCACTCACCAACCGGTACCGCCGGGATGGTGCTAGCGTTTCTTGCTTTACATATATAAACAGTAAAAGTAAAAGTATACATAATAATAAAATGATAGCATTTTAGTAGAGCCCAGACTAAAACACTCGATCAACGAATTATGGGGAGACACTTAAACTAGCTTCTCCGCCCACTGTAAATCAGTTATTCGATTTTTATGTATAGCAAAAAGTATAGATCTCACCACGGCAGCTATTATACTGCGTTTATCTGTGGGTTTTAAGGCTGCCACTGTAATGATGGTATTCATCTCACAGACCCTTTCCTTCTAAAAATGACAAATGGAATTCGGTCGTTTACCCTTATCTCAACAGAGCGCATAAGAGGTTGAATGACTTCATCTCTCTCGTTGAAATACGCCCCGGGGAGAATATCCCTATTGGAGATTGACTAGGTCCCACAGTTGCAGCATTATAAGCTATGAATACTATCTTCAATATGATATCTATCTGTATGTACCATAATTGTGTTTTAATTAAAATATTATTTTATATCGGTATGCACAGAGCGTATATAGATGCAATGCTATGCGTTCTGTGTGGTTGTTCCGCATAACATAAACTTTCAAAGTTGAACGCATGTTGACTCGTATTTAAACCATCAACGTTATTGTACTTTTTTGAACATTTGAAACTCAGTGCTTGCAAAATAGAAGACGTATTTCGCACATAATACTAAATTTACGGTTAAGCGAATACTAAAAGCAAGTGAAATAGTTGTGTTACGGTCGTCTTGCTATAGCAACAAACGCAATAGGTGTAATGCACTAGTCAATTGACACCTTCACGCCCGACCCCCGGGACAGGGCAGGGGAATTAACGTTTAGGTAGTGTTAATGTTAGACATTTCCCCCGGTCCCCGGGGACACATTCATAGTTAAACCCCCCCCCCATGGCTCGGTGTTTTGGTCGATTCAGACGATAAACGTAATTAAGATTTTGACGTAAAACGTTCAAGGCTATAGTATTCCTGGGATGTTCAAACACCAGAAATCAGATGTAAAAATGCTGTTTGATGATTGTATTGTGATGATTTTTATGGTTTATACACTGTATATTGTATTACGGTATCTGGAGTAAATACTATATAGATAGTTCAATTTATATTCATTCCTACATGTCATTATTAATAGTTTTTTGAATTTACACGAACAACTGTGTGTTTAAGCTGTTTATACTTATAATAGGGTGACTGAAGTAATAATTTTTACTTTGTCTTTGTATATCATAGTTAAATGTATTAAATCATACAATATGCAGTCTCTATGTAATTATTGTGACAGGGAGAAGGTGAGAGCATCGCAATAAATTAATTGTTATGGCGCTAGGCCCGAGGTGATAGCCTAAGAACCAGCTGGGCCAGATTCAAGAAGAGTTCGTACGCACAATATCGTGCGTACGCACAAACAGGGATTTAGGTGGTATTCAACAAGAATTCTATTTCGCCAAAAACATTCTATCACGTGCATACGGTACTCACAGCTGAGAGCATGCGTAAGCACAAAATCTGAGCATGTAAATTGCTATCGAATACCGAATACTAGAGATATACCTGAGTGCAAATATTGCTATAACACTACATGTATTTTATTCCAAACGTACAGGTAAACGTTATTATAACAACGTATAATGGTATTTAAAGTTTCTATTTAACTATATAACTCACACTCATGCATGCACGCACGCAAGCACATACATGCACATGCGGGCACCCTCCCCCCCCCCACACACACGCCCGCACTAACACACACGCACGCACGCGCACACACATATATACACACACGAGATCCGCCATCTTGTTTAACGGTTCAGCGTTAAATCTCCCGCTATATATGCCCCGCCATTCAAAGTACGCATTAAATTCCCCGCTCGCCGGGGAATTTACGCTGGTAAATGCGCGTTAAATCCCCCACCCGTCCCGGGGGTCGGGGGTGGGGTATCAATTGACTAGTGCATAACAGGAAAAATAAAAGAATATTGCCGGTCACCTTTCCAGAACCGGTATCCTTGATATGTTGTGGTATTTGTAAACTGACTAATTTTTATCTCAATAAGTCATCATCGATAAGTCCATATTGTACTACCTACTATCCTTCTACTATGTGACTATTTCGGAACTTGGTTAGTGGCGAAGCAGCCAATACGAGCGCAGTTGTATTGTCGTAAAGTGGCTGTTCCAACTAATCGATTCTCGGGGTAAGGGGGTCGCTAATTGCTCTTAAAGTGGTAATGGCAAAGCACAGGCTTTCACCATTAAACAGGTACGAGACAGGACAGTGGCCTTTTCGTACGCAGAGGAAGCGGGTACAAGTAGGCAGATTCTCATTTGTTCTATGTAGGTCCACAGCGACCGAATAATTGAGGAAACGTGTACTGGACGTAATGGAGGATTGTGTATAATATGCGGAAATACGCTCACACATACGTGCATATATACACTCTTAACACACACAAACACACACACGCACGCGCACACACACAAGTTCGCACATTAATACACACACACACACACACACACACACACACACACACACACACACACACACACACACACACACACACACACACACACACAATATATATATATATATATATATATATGCGCAACGCATATGTCGCACGCACGCAGACAAAGAGATACAAGAACACACAAAAACCCTTTTTTCTCTAGATCGCTCTCTCTCTCTCTCCTCTCACTCATCCTCTTCTCCTCTCTCTCTCTCTCTGCTCTCCTCTTTATCTCTCTATATATTTCCAACTCACAGTCGCACTCGTTTCTCGCTCTCTACCCGTGCCTCGCTTCCTATCTTTCGTCTCTCTCCCTCTTTCTTGCTAGCTCGCTCCCACTCCCCCTAGAGCGCACGTACCTACCTCCCTTTATCTTTCCCGTTTTCATTCCTCTTCACTCTCATTCGCTTCTCTCTTGATGTCGCCCTCTTATCTCACTGCTCCCTTCTTGCTATCCATCTACCTCTTTCCCCGCTTTCTCCGTCGCAACACGACAATCGTATATATGACAAAATGCACTCACTCACTCACTCACTCACTCACTCACCCACCCGCCAACCAACCCACCCATTCACTCACTGACCACTCACTCACGTCACTCACTCACATCACTCACTCACTCACTCACTCACGTCGCATCACTCTGTTGTCACTCACTCACATCACTACCCGCCCAACACCAACCACCCACTATCACTCACCACTCACTCACTTCACTCACCACTCACTCTACTCACTTCACCACCATCACACTCACATCACTCCTCACTTTCACTCACTCACTCACCACTCACCTCACTCACATCACTCACTCACTCACTCACTCACTCTCACGCACGCACCACGCCACGTCACGCACGCTACCATTCACTCACTTTCACTCATACACTCACTCAACTCACTCACTCACCACTGCACTCATCACTCACATCACTCATCTCACTCACTCCTAACTATCACTCCTCTCTCACTTCACCTCACCTCACTCACTCACTCACTCACTCACCCACCTACTTACTTACCACTCACTCACCACTCACTCACTCACCAACTCACTTCACATCACTCATCACCACTCACCACCTCACATTCACCACTCACCTCACTCAACTCACTTCACTCACTCACTCACTCACTCACTCACTCACTCACAACTCACTCACGAATCACTCACTGCATTCACTCAGCTCACTCACTCACTCAACTCACTCACTCACTGCACTCACTCATTCACTCAACTCATTCACTCACTCATCCACTCACCTTCACTCGCCCTCAACTCACTTACTCACTCAACTCACTCACTCACTCACTCACTAAACTCACTCACTCACGTCACCCTTTACTCACTCACTCACCGCTCGCATAGCTTAGCCTAAACAATCAGTTTATTCATCGAACTTACCACCACAAGGGCACGCGCAAAAGAGCATTGAGAATGGTTACAGGAAAACATCGAGCTCAATTTAATTAAATAAAAATTCATTTGCGCTTACAGACACAGCAATTAAAACAATGTTAGGCATGACTGTGATAAATCGTCCTGCAATCTCATTGGATAACGCCAAGCAGGCCATCTATTGAAGCGCATAGCTGCCGCCTGAGCGGGCCACTACGCTTGCGCGACGCATGTATTATAACGCACATGTTTTACGTCACGGAATCTCCCGTCTCTGGGCGCCAACCGCAAGAGATAATTTCGAACGGCGTTGTGTTCTGTGCGAAGTTTGTTAACATCCGAATGCACCGGCAATAAGGGAGTATAAAGAGAACGTATATTACGCATGAAAAGTAGCATGCATAGTCATGATCCACTAAAAACATTAAGGCCTGCGTTGGGGCACTATGCTCTCATATGTTGCTTTGGGAAGGAATAGTGCCATCGGCTATCCGCTCGGGCACTATTGCCTTCCCTCACCAACACATATGAAGAGCATAGCTGCCCCCAACAGCAAAGGCCATTAAATAATTAATGTGATGCCGCCCAATTTTGCGCTAACGTTTGCAGTGTCTGCTGTAATGTTTTGCGTAAAGAATACTAGGCTTTAGTGGGGATTAACATAGTACCACATTCACTCTGTATATGTCTACAATAAAAATTACCATCAACATAAACGAATGAAATATATATATATATATGATAGATATATATATATATATATTAATAAACAAAGTCAAGGAATAGACTAATAGGGTGTTTTAAAAGTTTAATTACGAGCTTCGAGATCCGTTACAACATCTGACAACCCGTGAGCCAACCTAGCTCATAACCCATTTGTCGGAAAACGTTTGCAGTACTTGGCAATTTATCACAATTAGGTCACTGTGTTCAAGGGCTCGAGCCTCAAATTTATAGCGTGCCGGGATCATTACATGCGTCGCGACGAAACGCATTACGCATTGAAGTGCGCTTAAATCCAAATATCTATATTGTCGAAAAAAACGCCGCCTTGCGATATGTGCTCGCTGTGTGTTGAAGATCTATCGCCTCAATTCCCATGGTGTTCCGGTTGCCTGGACCATTTTAACACAACCGGATCACACACATTTGATGACGTGCGTCGTGTGGCTGCCATCTGACACCCATATACAAATAGCTCACGTCGACACACTGCTGGCAGAAATAATTCTGAGGTTGCGTTTGTCTAAATCAGTGCAGAACGTAAACTTTTAATTGCGAGTGTGATAGTTGAGTCATTGCCCTTCGTCTTGTGTGTGTTGTGTGTGCTGTGTGGTGTGTGTGTGTGTTCGTGATTGGCTGTGTGTGTTCGTGTGTGCTGTGTGTCGCGTGTGGTGGGGTGGGTGGCGTGTGTGTTTGTGTTTTTGGTGTGTGTGAGTGTGGTGTGTTGTGCTGTGCTGTGTGGTGTGCGTGTCTGTGTTGTATGTATGTTTTTTGTGCGTGTACTATGAACTATATGCTGCAGTCGTCTTTGTCTCCGTAATGTCAATGGCGCAAGCGCCGAATTGTGTAGAATCAATTTCATTTTTTAATTATCATAAACGCATTGCTATTGTTTGATTATTTGATTCTATTCGACTAGTCTGCGACGCTGTGATGAAGAGATGAATCTCCAAAGCTCGTCAATAACTTTAAACACGCCTTATCTATACCTTGACTTGTGATTTCTAATCTACACGGGTGTTCGTGTGTGACTTTACTTCTAATATATATATATTATATATAATATTATAAGCGTTGTCTGTGGTGGGGAATTATATTATATTGTGTGTGTGTGTGTGTGTGTGTGTGTGTGTGCGTGTGTACGTACGTTCGTGCATGTGTGCGTGTGTGCGTTCGTGCGTGCGTGCGTGCGTGTGTGTGTGGGTTCAGATAAGAGCAGTATAATTAGCACATCGCACTCGCATTGCCAAATGTCTACGCGACACCAGGCGAGTGCTTGAATGGCTCAGTAATTATCAACGAAGTGGTTCCTTGTGCGAAGCTCATGATGTATCGACGGGGGATGTATGTCGCCGCTAGGGTTCATCGGTTTCAAGTCCGGATGGTGCGCCCCGCGTGGCACTGACATCATTAGCCGAGCGAACAGTTTCCGCGATATATTTGCGAGGTCAGGACGTTTTACTCGATACTACGATAGTCACATCACATCGTCATTACAGTCCTAGCTGGTATTCTGTGCCACTCACATCCCGACACCAACTCAAGTTTCTCTAGTCGATGGAAGTTCATTTGAACCTCTAATGTTAACCGCCTTCCCGAAGCTATATTAAGTATAGGCGCTAAAGGAAATTCGATCATTCATTACACATAATCACAAGATAACGAGTTAGGTGGGATCTAGTGTTCCGTGATAGTCAGGAAGTTGTCTATTACGTATTCTAAAGCGTATGAACCATGCAGCCGAGTTTATGAGTAGTCAGTTATGTCATTATGCAGAGAAGGATTGCAATATCTTATAAACATCTTTTAGATTCAGTTATATATGGACGAATTTGTCCTAAAATAAAAATCGTTCGGTTAAATTGCAGTTAGGTATAAATATAATTGCACGTTCGTGATAAGCTCTCGGTCGGTAACGTGCTAAATAAATCGACAAAAGCGCAACTTTGTCAGAATGGCAGCACAATCGCGAGGTGTAATGTCAGGGTCAAAAATCAAGATTTCTGTTGTTTTATGACAGATGTGATTGCATGACTATAGAAATTTGTAGATATAATATACTATTATTTATGCACTTACTATCATAATGTACTCAAAAATTCTAAGCTGTAGTATCTCTCTAATCGCACGCAAGCGCGCATGCGGACACAGATGCATATACACACATATATATATATAATTATATTAATTATTAAATGATATAATATATATAATGATTAACATAGTACGACATTAACGTTTATATTATGCAATAGAAACAACAATAGATTATAAACGATACCCAATATATATATATATATATATATATATATATATATATATATCGCTATCGAGAAACTTTATGCTGTTGTGTCGTCTGAAAACAAAATAAGTCGATTGGGTAGGAGTGTGCTGTTGGATACAAGGAGTGCCATTATTCCCAGTCTTTGTGCACTATCGATGCATTGCAGGAAATAGCGGCTCGTCTCCTATTCACAATGATCCGATGGACAAAAGTGTTGCCACCATTCCAAAATCTGTTCAAACACGATCAGGTAGGCACCTCATTTACATATACTGTATTATGAGAGGCGCGCATGTGTGCATGTGTGTGTGCATGTGTGTGTGTGTGTGTGTGTGTGTGTGTGTGTGTGTGCGTGCGTGAGTGAGTGCGTGCGTGCGTGCGTGCGTGCGTGCGTGCGCGTATGTGCAGGCTTTTGGTATCTCTATACTTGACGCTAGCGCGCGCCCGGTATTACAAGACACAACGACACACTTACGCGAACCGCAGCTCCAATACCTCGTTAAAGCGAAAAAAGATTTAGTGACGATAGATACTGCACACTTCCGCGACGGGCCGAGATGTGCGCGCGCATTGCTGGCTGGTGCACCATCAACCCCAAAATGTCAAGAAAACGATTGCGGCCGATCTATCACAGGCCATCACAGTGCGGGAAAATGCGAGGAACTACGCATGCGCCGTGCGGCCATATAAGAGAACTGCGGTGCATTAGAACCGATATGATCGAACGCGCCAGTCAGTTGAAAACTAGACACAATTCACCAGGGAAGGCATTGTAACGGTAAGTTTGGCTATGAGCTCTTTTACCGGAGCAATTTCACAAAGCATTTGTAATTTTAGGCAAAGTCACGTTACTTTATTTATTTATTGACTGATTAGGTCAGTCGGCAATATCATGCATGGACCGTTATTTCTTGGCTAAGATTTGTGTGTTTGAGGTTTATCGCATGAACGTCGTGGTGATTTCCATAGGCGATCTCGACAATTTATGCGTTCATATTTTTTATCAGATTTGTGTTCGTACATCACCATCCGGTTAAATTTGCTGTATATAATTATTAAATCGTTCATCAGCGCGTGGGTCTTCAGATTACCATGCGCTACATTATCAACGGAATTACCGCTTGTTATCTGTTGTGTGTATTAATTTTGGTGTAAAATGCGGGCGGTAAACTACAGGCACTACATATTCCATTATGCATAATCACACGGACGTGGTGTTTTTTTCTGTCTAGGTGCCGGTCTAAGTGTGAAGATGAAAGGTCCCCTGTTGACCAGCGTCGTGCTGTTCGTGCTGGTGAGTTATAACATAGCTTGTTACGATGGGAATTCTTTCACCTGGCGCTTTATATAAGGGGCTAGTAAGGTAGATGCTTTAGTTGTGAATTTGTCAGTATGGGTGTTATCAGCTTATTAATTCTGCAATGTGCATATATGGTAAGAGGTTCGTGGAACGGACAATTTTAAATTTATTTTGATTTGCTTATGTCCTAAATAAAAAAACTCGTTGACAAATACTGTATACGCTGTATATTTCGCGGTGATTTAATTTTCGCGAATTTCGCGAACGCGTTCCCGACCGCAAAAATAACAACACGCGAAAATAACAATACGCTGTTCTTCACTGATTCGGGAATTCACCAACCGCGAAATTAACCACTCGTGAAATTCTCCGTCAAGTCTGAATTCGCGAAAATATCTGTACGCGAAAAATATGTCGTATACAGTATTTCATGCCATCAATTAGTCACACGTTTCACTTTTAACATCTAGGTACAGCAAGTGCTGTCGTCCAAATATCGCTCATCTGGTGACGAATACACCGGCGATAGTGTGAATGGATTAAGCAACATAGTGGTGGACTTGGTAGCTTCGGATGCTTATCCAAGTGCCTATCGCACCACTGGGCTATCAACCAATCTGGCCAACAGCGGAAGTGTCTTCACAGGCAACAGCCGCTACGGCGGCGGTTATGCTCATCGACATCCTAGGCGGAGAGGCGGCGACTACGGATATGAATATGACGATTCTTCCTACGGCACTTACGACACCGGGTATGACACTGACTCGTACGGCCATGACGGTGGAGATGACTATAGCCAAGACATCGTCGTTTATGTAGACGATAAGGACCAGGGCAGAGGACATGGTCAGCGGCGAAATCGATACGACGATGACAGCTATGGATATAACGACAAAAAACATAAAACTGGCGACTGGGCCAAGAATCTTTTTCGCAGAGTTCAGAGGGGCGGTCACGGCAGGGGCCGAGGCACTCGCATTGGCAGTTACTTGAGGAACATGGGCAGGCACGGTAAACAGGGCTATGGCGACGATAGACAGAGCGGCTATGGCGACGATAGGCACAGCGGCTATGGCGACGATAGGCACAGCGGCTATGGCGACGATAGGCAGAGCGGCTATGGCGACGAAAGGCACAGCGGCTATGGCGACGATAGGCAGAGCGGCTACGGCGATCAGCGTAAACATGACAACAAGCACACGGCACATGGCAGATTCTCGGCGAAATCACAAGTAAATGATCAAAGCATTAGTGTCCACTACTACGGAAATTCCAGAAAGCTACAACCTATTCAGCAACCTTACGGCTACAATAACAATTACAGACACTGAATAGATAATGAGTTAATGTCATAATTCTTTTAGTATATATTTATATATATTGTTTTAACTAACGTTATTGTCCTCAATATATGCAAAGCTCATACCAACAAACGAACCTCATGCCACGGATAAAACCAGTTATAATTGTAATCGTTTTCCGTTGGCCGTAAAGGATATATATATATGTCATTGTATTTGAACACATGAACACATAATATCACAGCTTTTCCTCGTTTCCATCAGGCAGAAGTATTTCGCCAGCAACCATTAGTGACCATGACCTATAGTGTAATAGATATATAGTAACTATTATATCATTCGTGTATGTCTATGATAAATGTTGTAAACTATGAAAGGATGTTTATATACACACGCGAACGTATGCGCGCACACATGCATCTATGCGAGTACGCACGCAGAAACGCGCATACATTGATGTTGAAGAATTCATTAATATGATACTATATCTTGATCAAAATAAATATATTCATTAATATGTGACTATGTAACACGAAAATAACGCAATGATAATTAAGCAATGTGTAACTAAAGGTTAGTGACTTATTTTTTATGCCAGTTTTGGAAAATAAAATACGCGGTTATGTAAATACATATTTATATGTGCCTTCAACAAATAAAAAAAAATTAACATGTGAATCAAACTACTTCTTTTTATAATTAATGTAACGCGTGTTTTGCAAATGATTGGTATTTATCATGTATGAACATTAATGTAAACTACATTGAAAGAAGACAACAATGGACATATTAAGGTCCTGTTATTCTCAATATTATAATCAGTTCATATTTAATATCTCAGGAGAACTACACACAAAATCCAGCCTAATTTTTTCTGATAAATATTCCTCTAGATTTTCATTTTTATGGCATATTATCAACAGCTAATAATACATCATGTAGTATTAGCTCTTGATATTAGTAAGATCATTATCTACAGCAGTGTACACATCTACAATCTAATTAATCGCGCCTAATCTCACACCTAATTTAATTTATTTACACAGTATTTATTCGTTAGTTTAGTAGATCCATATTTAGTTAATTGCTTAGATATACATAAATGAACGACAGCACATAAAGGAATTATATGATATCTCGTACAGGTTAATAAATTTCGAAATATTCGCATGCTAAAATTTTTGCATTACCTAAAAGCCATTTACATTCACGAAGTAGAATCTAGATTAATTTAACTTTAAATAAACGGAATTTCTCCGATTAAAATACGCCAATACGAAACATTTTAACAAATTGGAATGCGAAATATTTTGAACTAGTTATCATTCAAATTGCGATATTTTATGCCCATAAAATACTAGGGTAGCCTACTTCTATTGCAGGTAGCTAGTCAAGATACTAACATGTCGCGATACTTCCTCATTTCCAGACAGTACACTCCATTTAATAATTTCATTTTACACAGAATAATTTATCATTATCTGATATCTTTAAAGGGAGTACCAGAATAGTTTCACACTAAATAAAGAAGGGCCAGCAATTATTTATTGTATTTATAATCCCCGGTTACCTCACATTGTAAATGTTTCGTGTCCAAATTAAGACGCGTTTAATTCTGGCTGCAGAGAAGCTGACTGTTACAGTGACAGTTAATGTAAGTGTATACTACAGCAGGATTATGAATATTTCTAATAACCGGTACAGAAATAAATCCTGTGCTATGCGTACGGAAACGCACACATACCATGCATGTCTTTTGCTTACCGTGACTTTAGCCATAATTCAAACGCTCCTTTGTTTCAGAATTTTGACTCACAGGTGTGCAGACAATTACGTCAATGTACACACTGTTCGTACCTGGGTGTCTGTTTATTTCATAATACAGTATTATATGCATATACATAAATATACATACATATACATAATAAAACGCCGCCGGTCTACCGCTAGTTGTATTGAGTTTTGTTGTAATGATCCCTACCCCACACCGCGGTGGAGCAGCAGGTGGTTTCTTATAAAATGAATTACTGTGATCACAGTATAATGCTGGAAATGTTCGCAGATTGGCCTTAAATGTTGCCTCGTGCATTCTAATTTTACATTTTTACAATGTTAATGGGGAGAAACCCTATATACACCTCCACGCTTCGTCTTTTGGGTGCTCGCAACACACACCCCTCTCTAATATCATGGATTCGCTACTGCGGTTAGGCGACCTAGCTAACAAACAATGATCGGGGAACGCTATCACGTGTAGTTCAAGCATTCACGACGACTTTTGATATGTATTTTGATTGTATTTCAGTGAAACGCTATGATAATGGACTAGTTCCTCATTTCTGACATAAATCATTGCACACACTCGGCTACGTATTAACGCGTACACAATCACGTTAAGTACTGACGGAGACAACTTCCAGATTATTACAGTTGCTAGTGAAGGCGGCAGTTTAAATTGGGCGATTCGCGCGCAGCTGAGCGTTCTGCTGTTACACATAATATCAGCGAAGTACACCGATGATGATATTAAATTTTGTTAATGCTCCGCTGAGACATATCTATAGAAGTACCTATCTAATAGTTACCGCTAGAATGATACCCGCCATACATAATTATATATTCCGATATTAAGTTCTTATTCACTCTCACTTAATTCGGTTAAACGGTCAAAAGAGTTGCCACAATTTTAATTAACCCGTGAAATTGTCGTGTGGTGCATAGAATTGTGTGGAGGTTAAAATCAAATCAATGTCCAGAACGTATGTGCATATTATATCCAAGCATATCCTGTTCCTTCGACTTTACGATTGTGTTTGAAGGACAATGTCTGCACGTGGTAGAGGTACTTGTGATTTTACACGGTGTGAAAATATGACGTTGTGCAAATTTGTCAAATGCATTACTACACAATCTACACCGAACGCTACCAGATTTTAAAGGCACAGATAGAGATTTGCTGGTAACTTCGTTCAGTCTAAAATGCATCAACAACGCATAAAACACATTAATTTTCGCGTTAGATAACATTGGTATTAACTATCAACGAATTTAAATAACTCGTAAAATTTAAAACTAGTTGATAAACATGAGTCGCTTGTTTCAACATTTCCTCCCGATCACTAGCCCACGCCGGCTTACTAATTTCTAAGTTGCACTGATGCCATATATAGTTTACTTCACAGCGATACGAGGCCTACGTAATCGAGGCCTACGTAACGATGATTTTACACGGTGTGAAAGTGCATTGGCACAACGCGCTGTCGAAATTATCAAGCTGCGCAAAACAGGCCTAAGCAGTCTCGAATGCATACGTCACCTTTGCGGAACCTGTCCGTCCTTAGCTGCGCCACAACAACGCCACCAACATGACCTGCAACGTACTTGCATCTCCGAATCATCAGTTCCTCACAATAAAGAACGCAAGTCAATTGACGGAAGAAGTTTCACTTGACCCTAATGGTTTAGAAACTGGTAGAGAGGCGACCAAGGTTCAGGAAGCTGTCAGACGGGTGAAGTTATACGTAATTAGTAACACGGTGCTAGCAGGTACAACACGAAGTACGAAGGAAGTGCAGTGACCTGCTGGGCGGAGATAGAGTACGAGCAAATTGTTTACGCGTTAAATGTTTTAAGTGCTTACCGTGATCGTTATGGAGACACTGTTTCTGTGCGGCGACAGGCGATTAGTCGGCGACAGGCTGATATGTCGCCGATCGTCACACCCTTCGGCTGTTTGCGGGTCGCAGCAGATCATCCGGGTAGGAACCGCGTTTCACGGGCACAAAGAACGTTTGAGGAAGTCATTACTCCACGGCCTGTACTGACGAGGGAACGTAAAACCTGTCACGGCGCATTTTCGTCTCAACCGGGCAGAGCGACACAAGCATTTCACCGGACGTCGCCCACATAGCGTAAATAGCTGATGCACTCAGCAAAGGAGAAACCTTTCTCGAACAGTAAAAGTCACGCTGACCGTTTTCCGCCAAGCGCTTTGTCCGTGAATCGCACAAAATTCGAGTCAGTCGCCTGGCGAACAGCAAAACATTCGTTACTGGCACTGTACTAGTGTCAAGATGCAGGTGAAAGCTAGACACGCGGTCTTACTGCTGGCTGGGATAGGCCTACTGGTGAGTAGTTTGTATATTCTTATAGACACGCGGATTTACGAAATTGTCACTATATACATGAACTACTATATAAATGCACTCTATGTCACTATATAACGTAAAATTAGTAGGAGGATATTAGGATAACCACTTTTCGTTAAAGTGGTACACTTCGAGTTAAAACCGAGTACACTGGTCCAATGAAAATATAAAACATTCCCATTCTTTAAATGTTTCAGGTAACATCTACATTCGCACAAGGTTTAGTCATTGATGACACCGACAGCGACAACGACAATGCGCTCACCGACACGTCTGCAACGACCGTAAATACCGTAACTACCGAAGTAACCGACGCCAGCACCGGCAATACTATTGATGCTGTTGTTACGACCGCAACGAGCGATCCATCGACGGACATCGGAACTATCATTACCACCGACAGTTCTACGTTCACTACCGACAGTTCCACGTTCACTACCGACAGTTCTACGTTCACTACCGACAGTTCCACGTTCACCACCGACAGTTCCACGTTCACCACCGACAGTACTACGGCTACAACAGCCCCGACTACAGACAGCGACGACGCAAGTTCTGCCACACAGGCAGTGGCTGACAACCAGGCGACCGGTGATGACGGCGACGCTGACAGCGACACCGACAGCGACACCGACAGCGACAGCGACACCAGCAGTGCTAGCGTTGACGGCGACAGCCCTACTGGCAGCGACGATAAAGCATCCGCTGTCGACCTACTCGGCACGAATGACATAGACACAACGAAAGTGTCGGGGAACAGAGGTCAGGGGGCAACTGCGCTGCAGATACCCAGGCTGGGATCACCGGCTATCGCCAGAGTAGCTGTACCTCTAGGAGCGGCGATCATCGGTGGCGGAATAGGCTACGCGGCTGCGAACAGAGGAAAGAAACATGGTGGCAATAGGCCGAGGTATGGATATCGAGGCGACCCTCTGCGTCGCGTGCTTCGCGAGAACAGGGGCCTCGAACAACTTCTACAACCCGAAAAGACACCGGGACAGACTAACACGCACGTTGGAGTGAAATACGGCAAAGGCGGCTTCTTAGGCGTTGGCCTGGGTAAGGTAGGCTTCGTAGACGTTACCCTGCACAAGAAGAGGCAACAGTACGTCCCGCCTCACGGCGAAACCTACCGGATGCCGCGTCACGAGCGAGGTTATCAGAGGTACGGTGGGCACCGGGAGCAACTCGGGTACGGCAGGCAGCACGAGCAAGGCGGGTACGGCAGGCAGCACGAGCAAGGCGGGTACGGCAGGCAGCACGAACAAGGCGGGTACGGCAGGCTCACACACACACACACGCACACACACACACACACACACACACGACTAGCATACACGACACGCGGGCTATAGTACTAGAGCTAACACGAGCGTTGAAAATATTAGCTTGCGATTCCCACCAGCAAATTCGCAAAATATTTATTACAACGCAGAAAGCATAAACTTCCAGTTTAGCGACGAATACCCCACCACACGTTAGAATTGCACCAGCAATGACAAAATAGCAAACCAGCCGGTCTACCATTTAAATTTCCAGCCAACTGACCTAGGTGGTGAGTCCTAAAATAGAAGTAAATCAATGAAAAGGTTTCTATTTTTACTCACCAGCAAGATGCATTTACACTTGTTCCGTCTGTGTCCCCACAACAACCTTGATCAGCGAGTCAGTCCGCCATTGACGTCACATTGACGTCACTGCCTACGCATTCACTAAGAAAGAATTAGTCGAATTTATTCTATTGCTATGCGATTAACTGTTCATGGGTACAGTTGTAGCATAGTAACTTTTTCCTAAAGGCATTCAAGTCATTAAACCGGTTAGGTTTCATTTCACAAGTAGGGATCTGCTTTTCGTGAACGGATATCATGTACATTTCACATTACTACGCAATAGCGCAGAGATGTTCGTTTGTCTGGCCCCTACCAACAGGTGAATATCGGAAAACGAAATATCAGCTCGTCTGCTAACCACACAAAAGATCGTGTACAATTATATAAGGTCGTTGACCGTCTGAACAAATTATGCACTCGACTATTAGCAGGAATAAATAATCTATTACTTCTCGTGTTCGTATGCATGCAAATTAGTAAAAATGCTTATCCTTTACTCTTTAGACCAGTGCCAGTGCCAGTGCCAGTGGTTTCTTTTTTTGAGTCATGGACCCCTCATGACCCCTTTGAGAATCTGGTGAAAGCTACGGACCCCTCCCCAGAAAAATATGTTTATGTGCACATAAACACACAATTTTGCAAACAATGGCCGTTCACGGACCCCTAGGCCGCGGAAGAAACGGCCGCGGTCTTGCTAATCACTTTGTATTACAATACCATTGTAGGCCTATAAACAATCAGTCGCACAGCCTTGTTGGGCTAACGGACTCCCTGAAGCCCATCCACGTACGGACCCCAAAGGGGTCCATGGACCACAGGTTAAGAACCCCTGCTTTAGACTTAGTCACAGAAAAGGTTTTAGATTTACTATGTCACAACTGCTTATTGTTTATAATAATTATTACACAATATACAATCAGACGATAGCTAATAATACATATTATAATAGTGTATAATAATACACTATAATAATAATACATAATATATATTACTAGCTCTTGATACAATGTATATATATGTATTGATTTTCTAGTCTTAAATGTGTGGTACAGTCAAAACTAAACGGTTAGAGACTCCGACTAGTAAGTTAATAACTAAATAGGAAACTAGACTAGGTTATAATACGCAATTAATTTATATCAATAATATCAATATCAAAAATATATATCAATTGTTGAATATAGCTAAATGGCTAACTAACTGCATATATTTATTATAGTGAGTTGTTAAAAATTTAACAGAAGTTCTCACTACCGGTACCCTAGTATAACTGCATATATATATATATATATACACGTACATACGTATACACCCCTTGGGTAAAATGAAGAAATATTTAGAATTCCTTGCAGCCATATACCGATGTATATACATGCATATAGGGCTGTGAATACAGAGATGGCTGCGTGCAAGAAGTTCCCAATATTTCTTGCTTTGTTTCTTGATTCTCTGGGAATTTGATAGAACCACTGTCCCGATTCCACGTTCAGCAAGACAAAGACTATACCACCATTCTCAGAAGTGCTCCAGAAGGGTTTGGATCTCGTATAGTACGACCAGGTACGACCTGGTGAACTATGAAATGTTATTCATGCATTTGCCCACAATGTGGCCAAGCAGCCATCCACACTAGACACACTATATACACTGGGAACTATTTCCGTTGGGAGCGACGCGAAACAAACCATCACGAGCCTATATATATACTGCCCGATCGGCTAGAAACGTACGGGCGTGGGAGTGTGGAGGTTGCATGGGCTCAACTTACACGCCGAAAGTTAATTAGGCTAAATATCCTAGATGGCAATTAATGCAGTCTTGATCTCAATGCCACCGCTATTTCCAGAGCAGGTTTGGTGTTACTTTCACACATACGAGCATGCCTTCCTGCTTCCCTCCATGGCCTAATTGCGTGAAACCGATTATCACGTGAAGTCGTGGTTGTGGTGATAAGTGAATGGAGGAATAGTGGATATATATATATATATATATATATATAGTAAATGAAAAATATTTTTATTTACTTCTGATACCATGGTAGGCCTATATGGTTGGTTGTAAAAACAGATCGTATTGCAGTAAGTTAACGTACATTCTTAGATAATATGTAATATGTAATTCCATGTAATATAAGTTAGTAACTACGCAATCCGTCTTGTATTTTAATAGGTTATAAGCATGTTCCCATGAGCATATTGACATGTACTAGCTATTAGAGTTTCTCATATAGGTGGACAATTACATAGTTGTGCTTCCAGAAAGATAGATGTATCTGCTGTTATGCCTCATGATATTGGTTGCCTGCAGCCTTCAACAGGTTCTTCAATAGCCTTCGAATATTCGTTCAAAACGGCTGAATAACATTAATTTGTAACTCAAATTAACGAGCTTTAGAATCTCGAGTGAAATTTCTAGAATGTTAAACAATGGTCTCCTATGATTCACCACTGCTTGTACGTAAAAATAATAAATATTATGTAAACTCATAAATGTAGGGAAATAAAATATACAAAATTACAAACTCATGTTCGCGTCATCGATGCATATACGGTAGCTTCTGCAACACATGCGCGTCATCCTGACATTTCGCTGGTTGATTAAAAAACTTTCAACTGAACAAGAAAAGTAATTTTGTTATCTATTATACCAATAAAATAACATTATACATCCTGCAAACGAAATTTACTACATGACTAGGAAGAGTCTCCAAGAATATATATATATATATATATATATATATATATATATGATAGCGGATTGTGTGAGAAAACAATATAAAAATCCATACTGCTCACGTGCAAAGTAACACGAACACAATAACTTTATTTATCACTTATTTTTTATTCTGGAATGTCTTACAAATATTCATAATTGTGTAGCCGGTCGATGTGATAGTATATATCTTGGTACTCAAACCTAAATGTTTTTAAGATTTCAATGAATTGCTTAACATTTTTAATAAGCATTGTCATCACTATCACATAGCACGACTATTCATTCCAATAGGTTTATACTGCTTCACTCTTAAACAGTGTTTCAACAAAAAATGCACTCAACATTCTCTATTTTCTACGTGGTTATAATTGATACTGGTTACATTTGTTTACATGATTTTCCCTATTGTATGTATTTTTTTTCTAATTAACATTACCTTTGCTCACGTAACTATTTTAATGATGATGAAAGTCGTTCGCACCTAGCCGCTATATAGATCTGATTGTCTAATTTAGATCTGACTAAAACATTGTAACACAGTTTGATACATTGAAATCCTTACTGTAACAAGCAGAATATCAGCAGCACAATTAAATGTATGCTATTGAATGTGTTAACGAGTTGTATTGAAATTCTGACACACAGTCTTTGAATAAACACCTGACCTCAAAATCTCATAAATACAACAGCATGCTTTAAAACTCAACATATGTTATAATTACATAACTTGTGAAAAACAACATTCCTCCTATCAATGGAAAACTAGGACCTATGATTTCACAACAGAAACTGCCAACACCCTTGTGATTCTTTACAAAAATTTAACAACTGGTGACAGATGAGACTAGTGTTTATACCTATACATACCATATAATTATGCAGTTGTTCTTTAAAGAGATGATGACACGCACCAATCATTTTCCAAAGCGCTGTTCACACTTGCTAAACGAACGCAGACTGTTTAGAAAATCGGAGTACCGAAGTTTGTGAGTTGCCTTCAGATAACTGCCAAAAACAAAAAATAATGGTTTTGTAAATACAACATACAGAATTGAATCTACACAAAATTGTTTCACACACCTTTTCAAAATATATTTCTTTATAATGTACTTAAACCAAATCCATTTAACATACCCATACGCACGCATGCAAACACAATACACAATGCGCAATGCATTTATCTTTTGAGAAATAAATCACACTAGCTTCTTTTCTCAGTAACGTAACTGGCGTCACTGCCAATGACATCACCAACACCAACGTTAATCAGTAAGCCACTAAACTTCCTCTATGATACTGCACAACACATAGCTACCACCTGTGCAACTAATGTAATAATAAAAGATTGTTACAGGCCAGTTTGATTACTGCTTTTAGGATTGCGACTGGTGTATGTATCACAGGAATGGTAAAACGCATGTAAGACACATGATCCCTGATAGCAGACCGGACCAGTGTTCTCATGACGCAGCTGCTAATTACACCTGCTAGACACACCTTGCAGTCTGTTTACTCTTTTGATCGCACGAGAGAAATTACGTGCAAAATTGCCACCTTGTCTGCATGCTTTTTACACCAGTAAATGTTTTCTTGATATATTTTTAAAACCCAATAGATACCAAACACACAATCAGTATTCTGAGACTCCAGCTGTAAAATATTCACATGCATGTTTGTCTCTCTGTGCACAGCTAGCAAATGCAACAATTTAACTGCCCTCAATGCTTCACAGTTTAGTGCAGATCCTCCCCTGATAACCCTACTTATTAATAATAGGAATAACATGATCCAAAAAAATATTACAAGCCTTTTTCTGAACTAGAACCAATTTATATATTATACTTGTACTCCACTCACTAAGAGTTGTCATTTGATACTCATATTGGAATATATTGTGTAAATCCAAATGTTACCACTACATGCCATTCTGTAAAGAAGTGGGTATGACTTTTTGACTACAATGGCCTAAAACTATAAAATAAATAGCAACACCACTTTTCTGGTTATTTAGACTCAAGAAAATGCATTTATATTAGTCACAAGAAATTAACCCATCATACCAATGGGACGAAATAGTCTCCTCTACTGTAATAAAAAATACCTACATAATTTCTGTTAATCGAATCTGCCATGGGGGATAGTTGGAAGTAGAATATACTGGACCTATCGCAAGTAGTAGACCAGGGTCTGGCAAACCTTCTGTTGCTGTGTGAAGAAAACAACAAAATATAAAAAAAAGCTTACAAGAGCATCACCTATTATATCTACTCTATATATAACAATGGCTTGAGAAGAAGTTCAAGGATGATACAAATCCACCTCTCAAAAGTTACAAGAACATTAAAATTTCGAATACATGTATGCTCGCATCCACACGTCATTGTCTCACTTTTAACATAAGAAAAAAAGCATGCTTTTAGCTTTCCTTTTAAAGTATAACGCCATCAGACGGACACTCATGTGATTGTCAGTTGTACTACTGGCTTTTACAAACTTTAATAACAGCAAAGCGATTACTGTTCAACTTAAATAACAATTATTACAATACATAAGCACCATACTTAATTTAGCAAACAAAAAGTTGTGCAATGCACTGTGTCCTTCAAAATGAGCTTACTTGGCATTAGGTAATGGAGATAGATAGCAATAGCCATTGTTCAACATGAATGAGTAATGAGTGAAAAATCAATGTTATGGCAGTATGGCAGTATATTTATGCTGTTGCAAATCCCAGTATTTGCACCTTGAGTTGCACTATTTATGCAACTATTATTTATTTTTTAAGTTACCCTATATGTGTGTATGACACACAGAGGGATCTTAATTCTATATTAAAATGACACTAAAATGATTGTGCTAGTTCAGATGCTACTGCAATGGGAATTGGATGGGATTTCATAGTCGATTATTGGTTACAAACAATCTACTGGTAATTGATGTTAATCAGTTAATCATGCTACCCATGTATACTAATAAATGCTAGGTATTGCTGATATGACTGGTACACATAACCAGGGTGCAAAATTAACGGGAGTCCGGAGTCAAATACTCCCTGATTTACTGTCGGACTCCCCGATTTGACAAATGCAGGATTCCGTGTGACTCCCTGAAAATTCTGCTATACTAACTCGTTCGTTCCAGAGCACGGCCTCATGGAATTATCACATTTTTTCAGCAAATATCCAAAGAAAATTTGGCAGACGTGCATCGCATGAATCTTCAAAATAAGCACGTGTGTTATTGTTGTTATGCCTTAGTTTTGAACTTCAGACTGCAGACTCCCTCATTTTGCTGCAGACTCCCTCTTTTTGTGGGCAGCGTTGGACTCCCTTATTCAAAAGTTAATTTCTACCCCTGCATAACATTAAATTTCACCCTACTAGTGACTGAGTAATCAACAGAAACAAAGTACACAATGTCATTCAGTTAAAAGAGATCTGCTTTTAGCTTTCTTCATGCAATTCAATGCTATCTTCAGCAATATTCAATGAAATTTAGAAGAAGTGGCACACAATTAACATATTGTAAACTATTTTTTATTATCCAATGATGCCCTGCTATGCTGTCTCTTGTTGTGAGGTTATCTTTTAAAATATCATACATTATACGACTAAGAGCTATCTCGATATTGAAAAATCCCAAATTTAAAAATAGTGACTGTTAACTTGGTTATGAACTAGTTTGGTCGCAATTACAATTTGCGCAAATCTGTGCTACCTCACTTAGTATTTTTTCTCTAACTTACCATTTAAATATTCTTCTAATTTCCTTGCATCAATGCTGTCAGCTTTAAATTTGCAATGCTGTACATCTATGCAGACATTCCGCACTGCTTCAACAATATCATGCTTGCCATTACTTCCATCCAGCAACCTGACCCGAGTTCTGCAATGGATCCCATTTTCTCCTTTCTCTGTGAATTGATATGCAATGAATATAAATACCAAGAATATATTAAACTGTAAAACAACAGTAGCAGTGATCAGCTAGTGCAGCAGTCAACCAAATGCTCTAATGTCATGCACTTGACCAAATTTTTGGAACTGGCACCTTGCAAAGAAACACTACCAGGAAGGGAAAAGACAAAAATAAGATTTCAAGGTGCAAGATAAACAAGAGCTCACTTGTAAAGCATATATGTCACTTTGTTATCAGCTATGTAATCTTATATTAACAGTAAATAATTAAATGTTTTCAAGCTTAACTCTGGGTAGGCATCTGCACAGATGTATGCATTCAACACAAAAATATAGAATATAGCATGCAATCAATGCTAATGCAAAAGTGCTAAATTTTAAATAATGGCACCAAACCAATGCCACCCTCTCAGTAATATACATTATACCCACCATTTTTTATGTGAAAAAACAAGAGGAGTTTTAGAGGACCTTAAAATATAAAGCACTTTGTCTTCTTGAAAAATACACCCATTCAAGTTGTGTTTATATCCCTCTAGAGTCTAGATATTGATGTCTATGACTATATATTACACACCTTATTGCAATTTATATTTTCTTAGGAGTTATGAATATAAAAGAACAAATGTTTAGTTCATCACTCCAAAACATATCTGGTTCACTAATTTTAATGCTGTCTCACTTGATGCCTAAGAATATGGCTTAAGCTCAATTATCGAATGCAGGAGGAAGCCAGGCTTTAGCCAATTAAGTATCTTTATTGTTAACAAAGACCAAAAGAACCCATTTTTCAAGCAATGGAGGCTTTTGCACTCAAACATGTTTTTCTGTAGTACATTAAATTAAAAACTACCCTTTAAGGACATTTACATGCCACTCTTCACAAAAAGAGTTCACAACACAGTCTTATTACCTTTATGCGGTTGGTATAAATAAACACCAAGCCTACTCATGCTGACTCCTAACAGCTCTTGACACTTCTGTTTCAACAACTTGTGGATGAAGGCTTGGTTCCGTCTAATCAAACCTACCAAAGAAGATAATAAACAAGTTAACTCAATAGCTAGAGCTATGTTTATGTAGGGACAGTGATTTTCCGCGATCGCGGAAAACGGACGGAAAACACGGAAACGGCCATTGGAAACGGAAAAGATGCTTTCAAACGAAAAAACGTGGAAAACGTAATTTGAACATATTACAACATGAAAATTTCAATAAAATCACAAATGATATGGTTTACATTCAGAAAAGTTTCAGAGCGAAATGACTTATAATGACGATAATTTTATTATGAACACATTACCCTACAGGTTCTTTCAAAGGCTGTACCAAATGCCTTTTTTTCCTGCAAATATATATGTAAACGGAATTTTACTGTCCCTATTTATGCTATATTATTACAATGAACACATATATATATATATATATTGTGCCATTGATGTGATTTCAGAATTTTCTGGTCCCTCATAACCCAGGTTACACCATCTCAACAGCCTAGCATACTTATGTATAGCTCTATATTGGTCTGTATCAGGAGTAAATAAAACAAATGTGTTTTTATTCATTCCTAGTTTGTATGGGGCTACAGTATACTCTACAACATGCTGTGCTGGTAGTCTTGCAGTGTGGTGGGTCAACACTGTCAACACCAGTCTAACCAAAGGGTGCAAGCTAGACACAGTACGTACAGTAAATGATAATTTGCTGCGTGTATTTTACTTTATTATCTTATCGGATTATCCTTATGCCTAGAGAGTTTTTGCAGCCTGTTATTTAAAAGCAGCAGCATGAGTTTTTGCCGTTTGTTCATGTGATGATGTTTAACCACTGTGGCGAGCACAGGCACTTGAAGCGTTTCAATAAAATATAATGCTAAATAAATCCGAAATGTATTTACTACCAAATTCTTAATGTTTCTATACCATCTTTTACCTATTATTGCCAACAGTTGCCTGTAAATACCGTCCAAATCCTATTTGCAACATACGCTTGCGGCCTTATAGATAAGTGTAAGTGTGCACAGTGCAGCCGCGTGAGGAATGGCGGCCGCAAGCGTATGTTGCAAATAGGATTTGGACGGAATTTACAGGAAACTGTCGGCAATAATAGGTGAAAGAGATTATAGAAACATTAAGAATTTGGTAGTAAATACATTTCGTATTTATTTAGCATTATATTTTATTGAAACGCTTTAAGTGCCTGTGGTGGACAGTGCTGGGTGAACTTTGACCTAACGTCGGTCGCTGTCGCTGCAGTGTGTTTGCGCCAGTCGCCGCGACTTTTGTTGTTTGTCGTTACGGTCGGTCGCTGCAGACTGCAGTGTGTCTTGGCCTTAAATCAGGTTTCTGCCTACTAAAATCTAAATATTAAATATTAGTACTAGTAGTAAAGCAGATGGGGTCGTTGTCGTATCAGGTACTACAGATATGTACCCGAGGTAGTTTTAGGTCGTTTAGTATTATGTTTATATTTTGGCCGTGGCTACGCGACCGGTTTCGGACGAGGAGCTGCTAGGCTACGCGTCCGGACATCCATCTCACAGTGAGCT